TTGTTCCGACCTACTTCCGTCCTCGTTCAGTCCTCGTCCCGTCCTCGTTCGAACTAGATCTGTCCTCGTTCCGTACTTGATCCGAACTACTTCCCTCCTCGTCCGAACTAGTCCCGTCCTACTTCCGATCTGGTTCCGTCCTCGTTCTGACTTTGTTCCGCCCGAGTTCCGTCCGAGTTCCGACCTCGTTCCGACTTCGTTCGAACTAGTTTTGTCCTCGTTCCGTACTTGTTCCGACCTACTTCCGTCCTCGTTCAAACTAGTTTTGTCCTCTTTCCGTCCTTGTTCTGACCTACTTCCGTCCTCGTCCGAACTAGTCCCGTCCTAGTTCCGATTTGGTTCCGTCCTCATTCTGACTTTGTTCCGCCCGAATTCCGTCCGAGTTCCGTACTTGTTCCGACCTACTTCCGTCCTCGTTCTGTCCTCGTCCCGCTCTCGTCCCGTCCTCGTTCGAACTAGTTTCGTCTTAGTTCGTACCTGGTTCCGCCCGAGTTCTGTCCTCGTTCCGTTCTTGTTTGTACCTCCTTCTGTCCTCGTTCCGTCCTTGTTCCGTCCTTTTTCGTCCTAGTTCCGACCTAGTGTCCCATATTTACCCAACCGAAATGAACAAACAGAATATTTTTTAAGCATCTTCTTGGTAGGCGCTGAGAAGTTTTTTTTTTAGTTACGTCTTGATCGTAACCAAGAATAATATGCTAAGGTATTAAAAATATTAGTGTTGATAAACCGTAAAAAACGAATCAGTCAATTAAATAAAAAAAAAATATAACCTATTTTTTATTTGTTTTGTTTTTGTCAGTTCTCCCCAAGAAAAGAAACAATGCCACTCAGACGCAGGAATCTACTGGGAGGGAAAGCAGCTGACTCCGAAACAGGTGACAAAGTATGAACATATAATCCAAAAGACGAGGGAGGAATGTGAACCGGGCGACAAGCAAACATATATACTCCTATATACTTCTAAAATAAATTAATTAGTATATAAAATGTCAGTTCAGATGGAGATGTTAGAAGAACAAACTTGAAGAAGAGTTTGGAAGGAACCAGAAACCCAATCCTAAACAGGAAACATGGATAAACTCCTGTTCAGAAGACATCGAAGGATTTTGAACTGGGCAAGAGATGATCATATCCACTCCTACTGAATAGAAAAAATATTAGTAATTAAAATTCAGAGTTAAAACCGAGATCTTAAGAAGTAGAGAGTAGAAGTAAACTTTAGATAGAACCGGAGACCCAGGAGGACTATGAAGCAGACGATAAGTTTTAATGGATCGTGTATCATTGAAAAACTCCCGAAACGCACGGTATTTGCACAGACTGTGGTACTGGATGCTAAAAGCTTCCCGGACCAACAAAAATACATATAAGATAAAACTTAATTATGCAGGCAATCGCCAGCTGTGTTTTCATTTATCTGCGGCTGAGATGGGCAGCTCGAGGTGGTGTAATGGTAAGCAATCTTGTCTCGCTAGAACAATTACGACTGATTAGTGAGTTCGATTCTCGCTGGGTGGCCCCCTAATTTCGGCTTGTGCCACATCTAAGCTGTGCTGGAAAATCACTATCTGCGGCTGAGATACAAAGCAAAATTTGCGTCTTCACGACTTTCATTAAACTCGGTATATATCCGAGCTCCCAACAGAGCGGGATGTGGCACAAGGCCGGTTTAACGTGTGTCTTTCTGAGCCCGTAGGCCTGGGGAAAAATTTCCCGTAATCTGGTAGCTGTCTACCTTCCGAGACGAGACTATGCTCTTTGGGATATCCACGTCTGGTTTCCTCTCTGTCCGTAGGTAGAAAGGCCGGCAAGCAGATCCAGACAGCGGACTGTCTAGATCCTTAAAGCTTTGATAAACCCAAAGGTGATTTTCTAAGCGCAACTTAGATGTGGCACAAGAACGAAAATATGGGGCAAACAGTGAGAATCGAAGTCCCTATTTAGTCGCATTTGTTCTAGCGAGACAACTTCTTTTATTAAACTCTATCAAATTTGAAAAAAAAAAAATTTTCCGAAGGTGTATAAATGAAAACAGATAAAAGGTTATAGATATAATAATAGTATTTTGAAATTATTAAAAATTTAATCAACGTAAGTATCCTCAAAGCACATCAAAGTGATTACAGATCCTGTGAGGAAAAGCTCAAATTAATAGGAAAACATTTTTCTTTCGTTCGTTGACTATTGAAATGTTTTCTTTTTCGATTAATTTATTTTATTTTCTATAGTTGATTTTCTGTACAAGTCTGAGAGATGGCATTTCCTCACCCAATCGGCTTAAGGGATCGAGTAAAAGCATTCTGATTACAGTAAACATTGATTTATAGATATTATAATTAATGAAAAATTGATGTGGTGTTGACAAATATTTTCGGCTATTTGTCGTTCCAGAAAAAAAAATCGCACACACTCAAAAAGAGTAAGTTTTATATTAATAGTCTCTTGCTTTTCTCGCTCGTGAGACTCTCTTCCGGCTTCTTGCTTTCCAATTAAGTTTGATCTTCAAAAATTTCAGTATCAATGGTTATCTTCTTGATTCCTCTTCGTTTATTGTTCTCGCTCCTTAATAATGTTTTCATTTTCTTGTATTACTTCACACGCCTTTGCGTCTTACAGGCCTCATTGCCTTGCTTGAGGTGGAATGTTTATAAATGCTGCTAATGAGTTTTCTTCAATTTCAATTGCATTCTTAACCCTAGAACACAAACCATCAATTAAAGTTACACTACTACTAACCATGGGTATATCGTAACCGATTTTGAAAATATAAAAAAAAATATTAATTATAAATCTTTATTTGAAATATTTTACATGCAGGCACTTCAAAATTTGTACTTTGAGTTAACATTAACAGGAACTGAAAAACATATTATTTAGGTAAGAAAATCAGGTACTGAAAATTGTAACTAAAAATAGGAAAATTTGCACTGGGGACTATATATCCATGGTTAAAAATATATTCTAATTTACTGTGTGAGAATTGTTGAACATTCCTAAGAGGGTACTCTATTATGCAGTAAAACCACTAAGAGGGTGTTGAAGAATTAGTTCCAAAAGTATTAACAATGAGCGGGAAGAGAAAATAGTAATCAGGAGGACAGGAGATAGCGATTGACATTGCATTTAATTTTGCAGATTGAAGTCTGGAAAGCATGGAGTCGGAAGGGGGTTCCACAACTGTTAACATAGAACCTATGGCTACCCCTAGCTAGCTCAATTGTAAATTGATGAGATCTTGACGTCAGTCAAGTATTGCGCTTAAATTCAAAAAGTTTAGATATCATAGCGATATTTATTTGTAAAAATACAATGTGGAACAAGGCCAAATGGTAAATAGGGAAAAAGGACAAATCAGTCAGTTAACCCCAAGGAAGGAGCATAGATTATTTGCTCTCCAAGAGATTCTACAGGAACCCAAAATGGATGAAAGAGAGTGACCGTTCTCTAATATGTTAAAAGATTGATATTGAACATCGCTAAGTAAAGTGTCAAGAATATTTTACAAGAATGGTGTACAATGTGCAGGCCCGGCCAACAACTCCTCCTCCTTCAAAATGAATGATATTAGGTCAACGGACGGCAAATTACGGCTTCGAATGCCGCAAATGACATCACGAAGTCCGAACCAATAACTACTACAACGCTCTGAAGATATTTAGTTATTGCAATTTTAGTATATAGTAAAGTATATATATACTATATATTATTATATAAAATATATTGTAGAACAGGTATATTGGCCTTGACTTGTATAAAAATACGTATGCTGTTGGCACACTGAATGAATTTAAAACCCTAAGTCGGCAAATATAGCAAAAGGTTTGGTTGTTTTTGGTTATTTAAGTGGATTGGAAAGAGAAAACGTTGTTTACTATCTTTTTCTTTTTCTTTTTTTATTTCCTTCTTTCCACATCCTTTACTTCTTCTTTTCTTTCAACGACCTTTATTCCTTCACTCTTTTCTTTCGTTATTCCTTCCTTCCTTCCTCCTATAGCCTTTCTTTCTTTCTTTCTTTTTTCTTTCTTTCTTTCTTTCTTTCTTTCTTTCTTTCTTTCTTTCTTTCTTTCTCCGAAACATCCCTTCCTTCTTTCTTTCCTCCCTTCCATCCTTCTTTTCTTCCAGTCTTTCTGCCCTCCTTTTTTACCCTCCCAAATTTTCTTTCCTTTCTTCCTTCCCGCCTTTTTCCTCTTTCTTTTTCTCGCCAGCCTTTCGTTCGTTCCTTCCTTCAGTCCTTCCATTATTTCAGCCTTCTCCAGCCATTTTGTCGTTCCTTCTTTCCCCGACTTTTCCTTCCTTTCTGACTAACCTAATCTTTTCTTCCTTAATCAGCCTTACCTTCCATAGATTTCATTCCTTCCTCTCTTCTTTCATTTCTTTCCCAGCCATTCCTTCATTCTTTCCTTTCTTTTCCTCCCAACTTTTCTGTCCTTCTTTCTTTCCCCAACCTTTCCTCTCTTCCTTTGCTTTCCCTCCTTCCTAATCCTTAGCTTTTTCCTTCCTTCCTTCCTTCCTTCCTTCCTTCCTTCCTTCCTTCCTTCCTTCCTTCCTCAGTTATTCATTCTTTCTTTCTCTTTTCTTCTCACCTTCCCTCTCTGACTAACCGTCTCCTTATCTTCATTTTCTCCGTCTCTTATGCGTGCAATTTTAGTTGTATCAAAACATATCAAATACCGTTTCTCATTTACATGTACGGCAACATACGCATCTGCAATTGTGTATAATGCTAACCATATGTAAACTTCTCAGCGCGGGAATTTGCTTTTAGAAACCTGTACATTCTTTCAAAAATAACCCTCTGTAATCGCGGGAACATCGTAGCCATGGGTAAGCCATACAAGTATGACTCACCAAGGTTACTCGGACTGGAGGGACAGGGCGTAAGGGATGGGTGGATGGTACATAGTCGAAACCGCAGGGATGGAGAAGGCAGATAAAGTAGAAAGAAAAAAAAATCGCAGAAAAAAATCAACACCAGGAATAAACGAAAAACAAAATAAAGTTTAGACTATTAAATTAGAAGAAGGGGGAGGAGGGAAGAAGAAGAAAAAGAAGAAGAAGAAGAAGGAGGAGGAGGAGGAGGAGGAGGAGGAGGAGGGAAGAAGAAGGAAGATAGGAGGAGGGAAGAAGAAGAAGAAAAGAAGAAGAAGGAGGAGGAGGAGGTGGAGGAGGGAAAAAGAAGGAGGTGGAGGGGAGAAGAAGAAGAAGGAGGAGGAGGGGAGGAGGAGGGGAGGAGGAGGGGAGAAGAAGACGAAGAAGAAGAAGACGAAGAAGAAGAAGAAGAAGAAGAAGAAGGAAGAAGAAGAAGACGACAGTTCTCTTATATAAATTGAATAAATAAATAAGAATAAGAATTTGCGGCAACTGAAAAAAAATAAAATGTGAAGGAATGAGCGAAGTGTGAAGGAAGGAAGGAAGGAAGGAAGGAAAGAAAGAAAGAAAGAAGGAACGAACGAACGAAGAACGGAACGAAGGAATGAAAAAAACGAAGAGAGAAAGAGAGAGATAAAGAAAAGAAGGAAAGGCTGGGGAAGGAAGAAAGGAAAGCGGGAAATGATGGGAGAAGGAAAGAAATAAGGATTAAGATCGAAAAGAAAAAAGAAAAAAAAATGAAACAGAACACATTTTCGTGATCCACGATAAATAAGAAAAATGAAAACAAAATTCCACTTTCCGATTGGGATCTTTATATTTGTTATTCCTTTTTGTCCGCAAATTCAGTGACAAAAAAATGGAGGTACCCTAAGAAAAACTGAAAAGTTTTTAGCTCGATCAATTTTCAAAATTGAGAAAGAATCGCAAAATATCACAAGTCTTGGGAAACTTAAATCATATTATTGATCCTAATATAAAAAAAAAAAATTACTCAATTTTAAGCTTTGTCGTCAGATTGACTATTTATTAACACACATTTAATTTCATTTAATATCTATTTTATTCCGTTAATATTTTTCTTTAAGTTTATTGTTGTTTGCAAGTCAATAAACAATGCATATATTGTAATTAAAAGAGCGAATACATTTTTGTGAGACCCTATATATACAGGGTGTCCATAAAGTTCGTGTGCACTTTAAAAAATTATAACTTTATTTGTATTTGCAATAGAAATAATCTATAAAAATGTTATAAAGTTTAATGTACCTACTTTTAAGTATATATAAAATAACTAATGTGATTTCAGGCATTACTGTAAATCAGTTGACAAATGTTTTCCGTGAACTTCAAAATCGTATTACTCTGTGTATTGCTAATGATGGAGGACATGTGGAAACTTAAAATTTCAATAAAACCTTAAAGAATATAGATTCCCTTCTTTCTAATCTTTTTTACAAATTATTTCTATCGCAAATAAAAAATAATGTTATAAATTTTTTAAAGTGCAAACGAACTTATGGACACCCTGTATATTGTCATCAAAATGTTTATCTATTAGTTTTAAGAAGAAATGGCTTATACTAATATTTGAAAGTTTGCAGTAGGTTGGGTCGAACGATATAAATTTCCTTTTCCTGTTTTTAACATTTTTAGAATTTAGGTACTTAAGATCATCTTGGTAATGTAGCTCTTGTTTAAACTTGCTATTTCTTAGTGCTTGGTTGTATATAAACTTACTCTCACTAAAAACCTTTTTTGTTAGAGGATAACTTGTTTATTCTTGTGTCGACTGTTTTTGGTATGTGTTCTATAATCGAATTCGAGTGGTTAGAAGGAACATTGATGTAAATGGCGTTTGTCCTTTAAGGAATTGTTTAAAGGTGTTGTTGGAAATGTTAAAAGTAATATCAAGAAAGTTGATTATTTTAAGTTAGAAGATATATCTATCTTGAAACCTAAAAATTGAAAAATTTAATAATCTTTTTGTGTAGTTAAAGGATCATTATTATTTGGAATAATTACTAGGCCATCGTCTCTATAAAGGCCAACTTTGTTGTCGATAACAATTTGTTGAGGGGTCCTCCCCTTTTTACACAAATGGACTCACCCAGTATATACATATACTACTGCTACGTGAAGACCCGAGACAAGACGAGGGCAACCGAGGGTGAAGGTAACAGACAGACAGACAGAACGAATGTAGCTATCAAGAGTCACAGTGAGCGAGCACGTAGACTCAATAAGAAGTCATACAGCGATACTTCAATACCAAAGACTGTACATATATTTTGCTACTAACCCGTATTCCTGGAACTACTAACCTGCACTACCAGTTTGAATTATTAAGTTAATACATTAGTTTCCTATATTTCATTCTTGGCGTTTGTTATTTATTGGTACTGGATTTCATCCCGGAATCCACAACACAATTCCACCCATGTATGTATGTATGTGTATATATGCCCATCACGTCTGCTATTTGGGCAGAGTCAAACGCCCCCATAGGAACATCGATGTTCTAGTTGTTTCTTTTTTGTCCAAGTTGAGATATTGTACACTACTACTGATCTTCGAGATGCTATTATAATATCTAGTTCATCAACAGAGATATCAATGAAATTTCTCGCG